GCAATGCTACAGGCATGAGGAAAGGTCCAAGAGACATGGACTTTAGGTTCCTAAATTTTGTTGGTTTGGTAATATTAAAAATTGGCCCCCTAAATTTTTTTTTTCCCGCTTAGGGTCCTTTAAATCTCTGGACCGGCCATGCTACGGTTAAAAAGTGTGGAAAACTTAATCCACTAATTTTTTTAGAAAAATGAATAAAATTAGAAGAAAAATGTTCATCTACTATTTTGCAGTATAATAGAAGAATGAATGGGAGGAATTATTTTGTCTTATTCCACTTAATCACATTTTACTTATATTTATTCCATCATTCGTCTAAAGACAACCACTAAGAACATATATACTTCAGATTTTCTTTTTGCCAAAAACACCTTTACATTTCCAGGTATTTCTTTTTCTAAAACGTTTTGAATAAAAAGAATTCAAACAACAAGGCTAATTACAAACTAAATTTTATATTTACATTTTAATTAAATACAAACACAATCATAAAAAGCAAACACTATATTTTATTTTTTTTTGTCGAAACGCTAGATTATTTAATTAAAATAATCGAACCCTTTACTTTTTCATCTGCATATAATTAAAACATGTTCTAGTGATTAGAGAAACAACAATATAATCTTGCATGTATGGTTTTAATTGATAGGATATGGAATTTATATAACAATGATTTGTAATCTAATCTCCTTTTGGGCTACGTGAGTTTCTTCTCGTATATATCTACACAATTATAAGGTCGTAGCTAAATCTTTTCTGAGAAACATAAATTCATTAGTAGAACAATAGAGCTCTGATATATCACTTTCACCCCTCTTAGATATTATTGTATAATATTCAAATGGTGACTTTTTATTCGAAAGATAAGCTAAAGAGAAATTATGTGAACTGTAAATAACATATTAGCTACACGGAAAGTCATTTGCTATAAATAATTTTTTTCATTGACATCTTCTGAAGATGCACATGTCATCCGGCTGCTTGGGAAAGGAGACTACGTACGGCATTATATGTCGTATATTGTAGTATTAAAATTTAAACACCTCTTTGTGATTTAGACATAAGAGAATATGCTGATGGATTTGAGATATAAGAGAATATATACGCCAAAGCTTTTTAATCCGTTAGCTAAATTTTTATAAATGATTCGACACCAACCATAATTTTGTTCACTATAATGTGTCAAGGCGTCAGGGTTGTTTCTGGTACCGTGACGACTGATTTCAAAGTGACGTACGATTTATATTGTTCCTCGCTATTTTGTAGTATAAAAAAAGGAGTTGTGCTGTTAGATGCATAGGAATTTTGGAAGTGAGTATTATTAGTGACTTTGGCTCTTCTTCAGTTAAAACGGAAGACTTGTAGTAAAATGGAAAAACAATTTGGATTTGAGTTAAACTCTCATTTTGAGACTTAATTTACATGTAATGCCAACGATGATCCAACACCTACCGCCTAAAACCTTCAGTATGGGCATATATGCGATTTTAGGTATAAATAACATCGTTCTATGTTTTTCATCACTTATGTATTTGTTTGCTTTCTATGGATCTAGGGTTGATTAGCTCCTCTACCACCTAAATTTTCCAGAGAGAAATGGTGAAACCAAAAATATTTTTATAGCGATCCGAAACCTAAGGGATGAAAGTTAAAGTCCATTACATTTCACAATAGAACAATTGAACCAAAAATATAAGTCACCGATTTTTCATATCATATCTAATCCAGCCGAAACCCCTAATTTTAAAGATATTATTCCATAACCCTTAGCCGTCCGAGAAACTCATCAATATCAAGTCTATCATGATACACTTGATAGTGATGAACATAAACATTCCACCTATTTTTTTTTTAACACATAAAACCCTAACAACGTGCGTACATCGTTTCACAATGTTTGGAAACTGTTTAAATACAAAACGTGACACCAACTAGGCCCTAAACTATAGTTTATTTGCATACAATATATATTAATATCTTAAACTTTCTATAAGTATCCATCAAAAACACAAGAAAGCGTCATCTCACATTATTGTTCGATACATTATACAAGGTACAAATAAAATCATAAAAATGTTTCGTAAGGTTTCTGAAACCGTGATTCTCATACTTCTCATCAATTACTTGACTGAAATCGATGTTTCATTCGCGCAATACTCCCATGAGTATTCTGAGTCCCATGAATCTCCCGACAGCTACCTCAGACCTCACAACGCAGCCCGAGCCGCAGCAAGAGTCAAGCCTCTTAGATGGGACTTCGCTTTAGCCTCTGTGGCTCAGGACTACGCAAACCAACTAGCCTCCGGTCCCTGCAGTCTCGAACATTCCTCTGGACCATATGGAGAGAACCTTGCATTAGGCAGTGGAGACATGTCCGCGGCTCAAGCGGTTGCAATGTGGATGGATGAGAAGTCGTATTATGATTATTACTCAAACTCGTGCCACGGTCCAGCTTGTGGACACTACACGCAGATCGTATGGCGTGGCACAGCAAGGCTCGGTTGTGGTAAGGCTACGTGTGGTAGTGGTGCAAGTATTATTGTGTGTAACTATGACCCTGCAGGCAATTATATTGGAACTAAACCATATTGATTTCAATTTCAATTGATGAATGTGTGCAAAGATTTGTTGTGTTATTTTTTTATTTTTCAAGATTTACTAATTATGAAGTTTAAAATAGTATAAACGCAAAATGTTAAGCGACTTTCTTTTTTTATCGAGTGCATAATGGAAGGATAACGGAGAAGCTTAAGTTATACTATGCTGAATGTTCAAAAATGGTAGAGGAATATATGTTGTGGCGGATTTTTCCTAATTCTTGATTTTAGTAGGCCGATCCAAGATAGGTCTTGATTTTTTTCAAGGTGTAACTCTGCGTCAATCCTATGGTTTTGCTGAACTTATATATGCATGCTTGACCGATTTGATATATCATCCGACTCCACACGATCGGTTTTATATAAATTTATGTAAAAGAACAGCCATTAGTTTCTTCAATATCTCTAGAACCAGTTTTGTTTTATTTCTAAATTTTCAAAAGGTTAAAGCTTATTATCTCAGACATTTAAAGTTTTCAAAGATTTAAAATTTTAAAAGAACCAGGAAAAAACAAAATGTTGCTGTATAATTACAATTTCAATTGAAAATATGCTTTTCTTTAAATTTTGATTTTTCTCATTATAAAATAATATTCAAACTTAAAACATATATATATGTGTTTTTTGTATTCAAAACAAATAAGGGTAAAACGGGTAGAGTATGTTGTTTGAGTAAATTTCAAACAAAATATGAGTGATTTTCAAAGATAAACATTATTTTGGTTAAAAAAAAAATATCAAAAGTTGTTTGAATAAACTTTCCTATTTATATAGCATAACGAATGGTCGTATCTTAATATTCAATAAAATAAAAAGACTGCATGGGAAACTAAATTTAGTAAGAATCTAAATAGTAAAATGCACAGCAGTTTCGATTAAGAAAAGCCTAAATTCAATTGATTGCAATATAATATTGATCCATCAAAAATACAAAACAGCTTAATTTGTAATCGTTTAAAGCCACCAAAAACCAAATTTAGATTTACAATTAGACGGAAAACTAAACGATGTTGTTTTGGTTTGCCAAACTACCTATGTAAGGGTGATATTTCCATTTAGTTAATTGAAATGGTATTATGCTTTAAATCAATTAAAAAAATTGGTGAGTGAACTATTTGACAGTTATATTCACCTTAAAAAGTTAATTGAGTGGTAAAAACGCCGATTACCCATAATTATTTTAAGAAGAAAACAACAACATACGATCTTGA